AAAAACAAGGTGTGAGGATCACTTTGAGACCTGGCATTCAAGTGAACAACCTTGGGGCAAACATTATGCGGGAAACCCTCATCTCTATATTTTACAAATAAAAAGAAGAAATTCTGTTCTCAAAATATATTTTGAGGCTAGGACATGTGGTCACGCCATTGTAATCCCAGCCTTTGGAGGAGGTCGAAGGGCAGTGGATCACCTGACGGTCAGGAGTTTGAGACCATCACTGGACCAATATGGTTGAGAACCTCCAATCTCATACTTAAAAAAATATAAAAATTAGCCGGCGTAGTGGCAACGCACCTTGTTAGTTCCCAGCTACTTGGGAGGCTGAGAACAGAGGAATTACTTGAAATCCAGGTGCTGAGGTTTGCAGTTAGTTTATTACAAGATATCATGGAATGTCAAAAAAATCATGAGGTTTTTTGGCGACCATTAAACAATTTTTGGGTTACAACCATCAATCTGATGTTTGATACCTTTTTTTTTTTTTTTTTTTGAGACGGAGTCTTGCTCTGTCACCAGGCTGGAGTGCAGTGGCCGGATCTCAAGCTCACTGCAAGCTCCTTTCCTCATCGGGGTTCACACCATTCTCCTGCTCAGCCTCCCATATACGCTGGGACTACAGGGCCGGCCACTATCGCGCGCGGCTAGTGTTTTGTATTTTTCAGTAGAGACGAGGTTTCACCCGTATTAGCCAAGGATGGTCTCGATTTCTCCTACTCATTGATCCGCCCGTCTCGCCTCCAAGTGCTGGGATTTACAGGTCTTGAGCCACCGAGCGGGCCGCCCATTGAATACCCTTATAACATCTTTTGGTTCTAGGCCGCCTGCACCCCCACTGTTGCCCTTCCTCAGGAGGGTTCAATAAGGGGAAACTGTTTCCTTATAATGAGCAGAAATATTTGTCCTTTAACTTACACTTACTTTACTCAGACTCTCAATCATCTCCCGTAAGCCATTACCCCTCGATCAATCTCAAGCTCTTCTTCAACGTGACCTTTTACTACATTAAAGATGCCAACACATGCTTGGATATAGTCATTTTTCTCCAGGCTAGAACAAACTCACACATCCCTCCCCACATTAACTTATATGATATGGCTTTGAATGTCTCAACACACTTGAGACTGTTCCGCCACACAAAGCTTTCAGCTGTCTGTAGTCCCTTTTAAAACCTGACAACTGGGTGGGCCCAGTGGTTCATGCTTGTAATTCCCAGCACTTGGAAGTGCCAAGGTGACTGAGTGGCCTGAATTCTATCTGAAAGCAAACGTGACTTTTAGTAAGCCTATGTAGTCTTTCATCCAGTAAAGGCAAAACTGCCTTCTGGCTTTTTGAAATACGAAAAATAGCTTCTGCATCCCCATTTTTACCTCCAAAAACTCCTTTAGGGACTCTCTGGCCTAATGACCTAATTTCCTTTCCACTGAACGGCCTGTTGTTCTTAGAGGTAATGAAAGAGGCCAGGCACTAAGATGGCAATGTTAAATAGTGACACTAGGGGGCAGACTATTTAGGCAGAAGGTTTTCATTAACTTTATTCCAGTGCAAAAAAGGTTCCCTCTATGGAAGTTACTGACTAGTCCAGGTTAATGAGTTTCTTTCTTTTCTTCTTTTTAAAAAATACACTCTCAAAACACATCACAATTAAATTTCAGAAATTCATTTTCTCCATCTTCTTTTCCCCTTTCTTTTCTCCACAAATACCAATTATTCTTTTTTTTTTTTTGAGACGGAGTTCACTGTTGCCCAGGTAGAGTAATGGCGGTGTCTCGTAGGCTTGCTCGGTTTCAACGCATTCTTTTACACATCACTGGCGGCGATAGCTGGCGACTAACCAGGGCGCTGCACCACCCTGCTAATTTTTTTTGTATTTTTAGTAGAGACTGGGTTTTCACCATTGTTGGCTGCGTTCGCCTTCCGCTGATCCACCATCAGTGCTGGCATTACAGAGTGCTGAAGCCACCGCGCCCGGCCAATACGCGCTTTTTCACATCTGCTTTCACAGCCTTCAAACATTGCGGGCGACGCCAGTTTATACAAATTCTTACTGTGGAGGGGGACGTGCAGCGCAAGTTCACGGGTTATCTCAGCTGGCCATAGCCCTCTTGCCCCCATTACTTTTTGCTTTTCCGGCCTCCAGTAAATGAATCCAGAGCCGATCCAAAATACTCGAAGGAGACTGTGTGTTGAACTGACAACATCTTGGACAGCCGGGTTGTTTAAGTAGCCGAGATAATGCTAAAACAAGAAATAATAATGTATTTTAAATGCTGTAAATTACATCACACCCCCCCACCCCCCCCGTGTACAGACAACTGCAGAGAGTTCCACTGGCTACAAAAGCACTAGTGTATAAGCCATCGACCTTTCTAATAAGAATGGTCATATGTTTAGCTTAATCTGTCTCCGCTAGAGGGGCAGAATAAAACACTCAAGACACCACTTTCCCCTACAGGCGTCACAAATCAAAATGGAGTTTCATTTTTACTCTTGCTTCACGTTTTACGTCCACAAATATATGCCCACTACATGTCACTGGTCACACGAGTGCGATAGATGAGCAGGGGCCTTACCTGAGCGGGGTTCACTTTTAGAAAATAGAGTTCGAGAATTAAAGATCCTAACACCTGAATTCATACATACAATTTATAAAATTAGTATTATAATGTATTTCAAACAGTTTGTACTAAGTTTTTTTTTCATATTTATATATTTTTCACACACACAAAACCTAACAAACACACACGATCTCAGTTCTAGGAAGGCGAACAAACACAGATAAGAAAATAAAAAAAAAAAAAAAAAAAAAAAAAAAAAAAAAGAAAAAAAAAAAAAAAAAAAAAAAAAACACACAAAAAAAAAAAACAAAAAAAAAAAAAAAAAAAAAAAAAAAAAAAAAAAAAAAAAAAAAAAAAAAAAAAAAAAAAAAAGATATATTTCTACACAAGTCAGATGGAAAATCCAAAATACTATTTAAGAAAATTTCCGAGTAAAAAATCCATTAAGGAATGTAATTATTAGAACTTTAAAAATAAACACTGACAAAAGAAGAGAAAGGAGAAGAGCTTTTTCAGCTCAAAGCTGTCATTTTGGGCTCCGGCGGCATGGCTCCACGCTATAATGCTCGCACTTTGGGAGGCGAGGAGGGTGGATCACCTGAGGTCAGGAGTTCGAGACCAGCCTGGCCAACATGGTGAAACCCCATCTCTTCTAAAAATACAAAAAATGAGCCAGGCATGGTGGCAGGTGCCTGTAATCCCAGCTACTCGGGAGGCTAAGGCAGGAGAATCACTTAGAATCTGGAAGGCAGAGGTTGCAGTGAGCCAAGATCGCACCATTGCATTCCAGCACAGGTGACAAGAGCGAAACTCAGTCTCCAAAAAAAACAAACAAACAAAGTTTTTTGCATCAGTCTAGTATATTATCTCCAGTCTAAACTTTACAACATCAGGGAGATGATGACTGAAAGAGAACATCAAGAGTTTGAAGAAATCGCCTATGGCCCGGGGAGGGAGGGAGGAGCTTTGCGACCTATACCAAGTTGTTTGCCTGCCAAGAACATGATTTCCTTCAAGAACCTGGGCCAATGGGCTGATCCTCATTTGCAAAGCTACTCAATATAAAAAGTAGCCTTGGCTGAGCGCAGTGGCTCACACCTGTAATCCCAACACTTTGGGAGGCCGAGGCGGGCAGATCATGAGGTCAGGAGATCAAGACCATCCTGGCCAACATGGTGAAACCCTGTCTCTACTAAAAATACAAAAATTAGCTGGGTGTGATGGCACATGCCTGTAATCCCAGCTACTCAGGAGGCTGAGGCAGGAGAATCGCTTGAACCAGAGAGTCGGAGGTTGCAGTGAGTCAAGATCATGCCACTGCACTTCAGCCTGGCAAGAGTAAGACTCCATTTCCAAAAACAAACAAACAAAAAAGTAGCCTTGTCATTCCTTTCTAACACAGCAACAAATTCTGGGAAAGACTCACCGCTTCAGCAAAATCAGGATTAAATTTCAACAAATTGTTTAACTCCTTCTGCAAGGAAGCTGGAGTGAGGGCCTTAGTCTCATCATTCTTTAGCAAAGAAGCCTGAAATTTAAAAATGATAACTCAGTAGAAAGAAAGGGTCAATAAACATATGAAAAGATATACTAACTAGCATCACCTGATTATTTTCTTTCCTACAGGGGTCCCTTCAGGCTCTGGCCCCTCATCTAGCCAGCCTTGGCTGGTCTCCCCTCACTCTAGGTACACTGAAGGTGGACCCTGCCACATGCTCTCCTCTTGACCATATACGAAAACACTTTCCTCTTCCAGAAACACCAAGCCTCCCACCCATCACTCCCCAGCCATATATACCCAAGGCTGAGCAAACCCACGCCCACGCCTAGCTCATCCTCCAGGCCACCTGCTTCTGTCACCTTCTAGATGAGGTGAGATCCTAAAAGCCCCTCCATGCTCCCATAAGCCCTCTGCATTTACCTTCCTGTAGCACTATCAAACTATAGTAAAACTGCCAATCTAACCCCACCCCAGATTGTAAGCTCCTTCCAGGCAAGTAACGTGTTTGCTTCTTTTCCAGTGCCTGTATGAGGCCTTATAGGAGCCAGCTGCCTTGCCCCAGCCCTACTTATTTGTTTCATATGGATGATATCAGCAACAATTATATAACATATGTAGAAAGTTAGCTACAAATTAAATGTTTACATTTAACTGGGTTATAGACACTTTACTCCAATTTTACCTAGATGAGTTTTTCTATAAGTAAAGTAATTTCTAAGGGCAGGGTGTGGTGGTTGATGCCTATAATCCCAAAACTCTGGGAGGCAGAGGCTGAGGCAGGAGTATTGCTTGAGCCCAGGAGTTCAAGAACAACCTGGGCAATATACTGAGACCTCATCTCTATTTAAAAATAATTTCTTAAAAAAAATTTTTTTTAAGTAAAAATAATTTCTAATTCCATTGTTAATTTATATCATTATACAAAATTATTGGCCAGGTGTGGTGGCTCACACTTGTAATCCCAGCACTTTGGGAGGCCAAGGCGGGCAGATCATGAGGTCAGGAGTTGGAGACCAGTCTGGCCAACACAGTGAAACCCTGTCTCTACTAAAGATACAAAAAATTAGCCGGGTACACAATCTACAATATAACTCAGCCTCCAATACAGGGCGCTACCTTCTCACTCAGAGAATTTACTAGATGTGAAAGGTATCAGGCCTTTATTAGCACCACCATCTTTTTTTTCGTTTTTTGCGAGACGCATTCCACTCTGTCGCCTCCCAGGCACTTGGAGTGCAGTGCTGGATCTCAGTCATCACTTGCAAACTCTCGCGTCTCCGGGTGGACGCCAGTTCTCCACAGTGCTGCCACCTGCCTCGAAGTAAGCTGTGGACTAACAGGCGCCCGCAGGCACCTCGCCGCCGGGTTCAGAAGTTTGTTTGTATTTTTAGAGAGAGCGGGTTCACCAGGTGTACCAGGGATGGTCTCGGATCGGGTCCTGACCATCAATGATCCTGCCCGTGCTCGCGCCTCCAAGTGCTGGATTTCACAGGCTTGAGCCACCGCGCCTGAACCTACCCACCTATTGCTTACCAAAACTCAAATATATACGGACATATATAGTACACACACATCACACAACAAAGGACTCGTAATATAGCACTAAGTATTCAGTCCAGCTGTTACGTTTTCTTGGTAGTGGGATTGTCAGAAGATTTTTTGGTTTTCTCTCTGTAGGTTTTCTATATTTTTGGAATAATTCTTTTCCCTACTACACCGTACATAATACATTCTCTTTTTTTTTTTTTTGAGACCGAGTCCTTCCCTGCACCCCAGGCTGGTGCAGTGATGATTCAGCTCCTGCAACTCTGTCCCGGGGTTCAAGTGAGTCTCTGCCTCAGCTCCCCGAGTAGCTGGGATTACAGGTGTTGCCACCACA